AGAGTCATGAATGAATAACAATATTATGTATGGTCAGGGTTTAATAATACACCTGAAAGTTAGGTACTGTATATATATGTGTGTGTGTGTGTGTGTGTGTGTGTGTGTATACACCCACATACATTCATACATATATACAGTTAGTCTTCGACTTACAACAGTTCATTTAGTGACCATTCAAAGGTACAGCCACACTGGAAAAAAATGACTTATGACCGTTTTCACACTTAACAACCATTGCAGCACCCCTATGGGGAAGCCAGATTCATTTAACAACCATGTTACTAACTTAACAAATGCAATGATTCAGTTAGCAACTGTGGCAAGAAAAGTCATAAAATAAGGCAAACTCACTTAACAAATCTTTCACTTAGTAACACAAATTTTGGGCTCAATTGTAGTCATAACTTGAGGACTACCTGTACGTACACACACACACACACATACATACACACACACACACCTATATGTATAATTCTCTTCTCTAATCTTTTCTTTTTCCTTTTTACATAAAAGATTTAAAAAAATAATTGAGTGGTAGTCATTGGACTCAAGAAGCAGGAATAAAGATAAAAAATACAGTAAGATGCAATTCTGGATCCTAGAAGAATCTCTTTGGGACTTGAGCCATTGAATTTGAATGTGTTTCAGAGAAAACAAAAGAAATAGCAGGGGACATACTGCAGCATTCCCTGCTCTCCTAAGAGGCACAGCCGGTTTGACTTTAGGAAAGTTATTTCTTTTTCGCCAAGAACTTTTGAAAAAAAATATATTTTAAAAGAATGTAAGATCTTTGCTAGTCCTGAAGAAGGTATTTATTTTTTTCAATGACAACTCAATAGTCCTTTTCAAAAGATAACTAAGTGATAACCAGTGGTGGAGTTCAAATTTTTTTACTACTGGTTCTGTGGGCGTGGCTTGGTAGGCGTGGCAGGGGAAGGATACTCTAAAATCTCCAGTCAGAGGTGGTATTTGCTGTTCTGTGAACTACTAAAAATTTCTGCTACCGATTCTCCAGAACTGCTCAGGACCTGCTGAATAATATAACCCTTTCACATTTTTTATTTTCCATGACAGGAATATAATAACAATCTCTAGCTAGCCCACTAAAGTTTGTGCTGCCAAACTTTCTTTTCCAGAGAATGCATCTTTGATGTGGATATAGTCAGTGAATTCTAAGGATAAACTTTGATAGTATAATAGTATAATTTTCTTGCCATAGCACCCCATGGGTATTAAAATTCAATTAGCCATCTCATAAATGAATTCCGTCAATTAGCAAATACAGTGAAATAACTGACAGTAACACTGTGACATATCAATTGTGAGAATTAAGTGTAAGTTTGAAAGTAAAGTTGTTTTCGAAAGTTAAGAATGGAATAAAATATATTCTGTTAACTGGCAGAGGCCCAATATTTAATGCTTGTTATCTGGCCTAAAAGTCACAATGAACTTCGACTATGCTGTGTTCTCAAAGCCAGATAAACAAGTGACTGTTGCCAGATAAAATCAAGCATTGTGGCTGCATAGATTCAGCAATACATGATTGATAGAAATCGGGTTTGTCTTTTGCATAATCCTGCACTTTGCCAATAGGTTGAATAATTACAGAAGCTAGGCAGAACATCATATATTTCACAAAAGGACATGAAGATCTCACTTTTCTGGCAGGTACTAGATCTAGGATGTTAATGGATGGAGGATGTGATGTATAAGTGTGGGACATTTATTAAGGTGTTATTGCCATGATGTCAACTTCATTTTGTTAATTGATTTCAGTATGCATTATGTTTTATTGTTTGGTCGCCAAGGAAGTCCCATTGTGGGTGGGTGACTGTATATATTTGTTAAATAAAGTAGATATAAAGTTGAAAGAAAGCTCCTTCTGGGAATATCTAGACAATTGGAACAGGGAAAAAGGAATCTGTGATCCTCCAGATTTTACAGATTAACCAGACCAGTGACTCCAGCTAGCATCACTAATAGTGAGGGACCCTGGGAACTATTGCTTAGCGAAACCTGAAAAGGCTGACAGATTCCCCCTCTCCTTTGTAGGATTATATTCATGGAAGAAAGCTAATCAAATTTTCAATACATCGCCTCTTCTCTGATTACATGTTTTTGGAGAGTTATTTCTGTTTTATAATCACAATGGCATGCATTTTAAAGAAGCAATGTGTACTTTACCCTCAAAATAAATTCTGAAAATCATTTTTTAAGTTTTGGAAACAAATTATTTTATTTGGAATAATTTGGCAATTACTCAATGGCCTGCAAAATAATAAATATTTGGAAATGCAATAGAAATTCTGTACTTTAGATCACCTATGTTTCCTGGTTTTTGATCCTTCAGCAAACACGTTCTGCTTTTTCATATATAAAAGATGAACATTTTAAGAAATCAATTTCAGCTCCAAATTTCACAATGCACTATAGGCATAAGTACGCTGAATAAAATACAAACAAACTGAATTTTACAACCTGTTGTCTTGTTTCGGGTACCCTTGTAGAAGGATCCTTTAATACACGCAAGCACAGACTTTGGCTATTCAAATTCAGAAAGACCTTGATAAGTCTATAGAGCTGCTTGATCAAGAAATGGAGTGTTGTGCTTTCTTTCTTGAAAGGAGTATAAGTGCACCCCACTTCGAGGAGAAGGCTAAACCAATAAAGAGTGTGCTTTATCTGGGAACTTTGATGTCAGTTGCTCAGCTTTCCCTCTCCCCCCCCCCACTTTTTTTTTTTTATTAAGGGCTAATATAGATCTACATATATTAGTAATGTCAGCAATGTACACAGCAAACTGTGATGCCAAAATGATGACACCTGTGTAATGATGTAATCACACAAATGCTGCAATTATATATTTGCACCAGGATGCCTGACAACAAATGGTGCCATCAGAAATGCTAATACGTATGTTATCAATAAAGGAGAATATTCGTATGTCAGCTAAAATGAGGATCCTTGGTACATTTCTGAGCTTGGTTGTTTTCTTTCAGACATTTCATTATACAAATTAGGTAACATCATCAGAAAACATGTTGAAAAATCTTTAATTTCACAACACGTGGACAGACTTACCCATAGTTTCAACTGGAAAACTGACTATCCTAGACCAAGCCAAGTCCAAAAATGCTACAGAATTTCTGGAAGTTGGGCACCCTGTCAAATTGGCCATGAATAGTCTCATAGATATAAACAACATTTATATACTGTGCAAAGGAGAGAGTGAACAGGCCAAAAAGGGAAGAAAAAGACTAAAATTTCTCCCCACCAGCAATCAACATCCAGAGGAGTGGAGATGAACAAGATTAACACCAGACTAATAATCAAGAAGTAAACAATGCCCAAATCAAGGAACGGCCAAACAAGCAAACTGCCCAACCAAAGATCCACTAAGACCACTTCCACCAATCCTGACAGGAAGAGCCACTATAAAAGCAAATCCCATTCCTTACTAGCACTGATGATTGTTACCCAGTTTGGGTAATGAAGCATCTGCCAAACAAAATCAAAAAACCCAACTCATATAAGAGAGGACCCCTCACATACGTTATCATTTGCCCCTCATGCTTTCCCTGCAGAAACCCACGCATAGGGCCTGATGTAAGTTTACTGCTTCCCCTTGCAAAGATTTTGTGTCGACCGAAAGCAGTTTTGATGGCGGTTCTCTGTATATTTCAAGCTTGATTCTTGAAGGCTCAGATATAGTGTCCTTAGAAACCACAGCATTGAAAAGGCTTTCCTCTAGAGGTTCAAGACAGTCCAAGTTCAGGTACTTCCCAGGCATAAATTGTTATTCGTGCAGATTTCTGAAGCCAGGAATATACATAAGATTTGCTACTGGATTTTAAAAAAAGATAGAAAAAACATAATTAAGGATTTTGATGAATAAATATATAACACTTTAAAGGCTTTAAAATACAAAACAAATTATAAAATATACTATATCATAAGGGAGGAATTAGAAACAAAGTTTGAGGTTTAGACTTGTTTCCTTGAAAAATAACAGCTGATTCAAATTTGGAAGTAATGGCTAAGTCAGTAAAAATGGTAGCTGACCACTTTCCGAATAGGAATTTGAGGCATTAGCTTCCCTCCCCTGATTTTTCTAATTACACTCTAGAAATAAACTATCATAATTGCTGGCCGAAATACACCTTTAAATACTGACTTTAGAAGAATTCACTGGTTGCTTTAATCTATTTGCCCCACAATATAACGATATAAAGATACTTTCAAATGTAAAAGTTTATTTTTAAAAATAGACGCTGTCATTTAAAGGCAATTTTAAGAGTCTGCCATTTTTTAAAATTTTGGATTACAAATACTACCAAAACGGTACTTTCTCAAGCAAATCTGCCCTTCCGAAGGAGGAAGAAGCTGGAAAGTTTGTTCATCTAAGTCTTGCATTACATGATAAATTCGAGCGTAGGTATTATTCTAATATCAGATGCATCTTTTATAACTGTTCAGTGGCAACAACAGTATCTCTAATTCCAAGGAGAATGTTTGCCCTTTAAGGGCAAACTAAATATTTTCAGGCGTGGATTTTTGTTTGCCACTGAAATGATAAAACACATCTATCCAATCTGTTTATCATAGCTGTGATACTGCCTGGTTGCATTAGGGAATGCCACTAGGAAACAGATTACCAATTAAAACAGACTTTTAGAACATAGAACTTTTAAATCTCAGCCAGCATATTTAGTTCCTGTGAAATAAAGCTACGTATTTATTAAAATAGTCTAGGCATACAATCAATTTTACTTACTGGGCTAACTGCACATATCCAAGTATGGTCATCTGGGGCAGTACTTGTTTCCTTTCTAAAGGGAACATTGCTTCAGTTTGTTTTTTTATGCTAACTTCTCGTAAGCAATGCAGATGGTAGAAAGGGTGGATTCAGGATTCTATCTTCACAAATGTTTGATGTTTGAAGCAGTGGCTAGTTAGAGCAATATCTGAGCAAGTAAGAAAGGGTCTCCATGTGGCTATATGAGGCACTTGGGTCTTCTGCAAAGATGAAAATAGCCTTGTTATATAGTAAAAACTTTGTTCTCTAAAAGTCAAAGCCACAACACAAGTTTATACTCCACAGCAGTGTTCTAATGGGAGAAGACAACCTTCTAGAACATTGTATTCTCTTGAGAACGAAGCATGCAGCAATCATTTGGGATGTGCAGAGAACAATTGTTCCTTTCCTTGCTTAAAAGGAGTTGCATTTCATTTCCATGCCTAAGAGAACTGGAGCAATTGCACAGGAATTAGTGGGGGAGATAACGTAAGATGTAAGATTCATCCTCCAGCCAAAGAACGTTTTTAAAAATCCTCTATAGATTGTGGTGAGGAAATCCTCCATGAATATATCTTGTGTTCTCCTCTCTTCCTCCCAGGATGGAAACAAGTTTTTTTAAAAAAAAAACCCATCGCAACCATCTACTAAAGAAGGCTTTCTGCAGTTGGTTTGCTATGCATCTGCTGGTGACATGACAGGATTAGAAAAAGCTGTACCGATTGAGTCTGAGTCCAGTTTAAGTCTCAGGAGCTTAGGGGGGTTCACATCAAAGTCTTCAGTGACAGCCAGCTTGACCTTGCCATTCTGATTCTCCTTGATAGGCTCTAGAAAAACAACATGCTTGTTTGCACTGATCTTGCGATTTGTTACATCTGTGACCGGTGGAGTTGTACTAAGAATAGAGGATTGGGCACTGCAGTCTTGAGGGGGACTCTTAGGCTTCCTGCAGCACTTAGAGCAAAAACATGGTGTAAGGTACAGGTACATCAGCACTAATACCAAGCTTACTATACACCCTAGGAGGGTTGTGAGGCTAGTACTGAAAGATTCCACTAATTTGGAGTAGTGGACTGTCACATTAACTTCATACGTTTCGTTGATCTTTTGGAGATCACTGATTGCTATGCACTCATAAACACCTGAGTACGACCGGTTGGGATTGATGATCTTTAAGCTTCCATTTTTTAAAGGTTGATGTGTCTGATCGCTGTGCTCAGGATACATGAATAATTCATGGCGTGGGGAGATCCACCTGTAAGTGGTGGTATTGTCTTCATGGAGACTGGTGTTGCAGTCTATTACCAAGGATTCTCCCACTCTGCACAGCACTTCTGGAATGTCAAACTTCCTTTGTTTCCAAGAACAAATGTGGAAATATTTATTGTAATCGAAGGTCTTAATTAAGGAGAGCGTATTGGGGTAGGCTTTACAAATGTGCTCCTCTATGAAATCCTGCACAGACCTGTAACCGCGATGTTTCCATTCCTGGAGCATCTCCTGCAGAGAGCAGTCACAATTCACAGGGTTGTTGTGAAAATATAAGCCATTTTTAATGTACGTCGGCAAAGCTGCTATGACTTGAATAGGAATGCTGCTTAGGTTGTTGGCAGAAAGATCAAGCATCCTTAGATAAGGATGTTCAAGTTTTTGAATAGACTCAAATGGAAATTTTGTTAGCCTATTCCAACTTAGGTAGATCTTTTGCAAATTGATTAATGTCATGAAAGCTTTTCCATCTACTTGCACTATCTTGTTATTGTAAAGAAGAAGCTCTTTCAAGTTCACAAGGTCTTCAAAGTAGTATTTTTCCACAGTTTGCAGATGGTTGGAGGACATATCCAGATGCAGAAGGTAGGTAGCATTGCGAAACACACATTGAGTGATGTTTTTTATTTTGTTGTGGCTAATCCTAAAGGTTTCAAGGTGTGGCAAAGTGGTCAGGCAATAATCATGAAGGTGAACAATAGCATTGTGGCTGAGATCCAAGGTGATAGCTGTCCGAGGCAATCCGGCAGGGACACGCTGAAGGTTTTTCCTGGAACAGCTCAGGAGGTCAGCAGTACAGATACAGGCTTCAGGGCATCTTCTGGAAGTGGAAGCATTGCTTAAGATGCTAACCTGAACACCCAGGCCAAACAGTACCCACAGCTTTCCCAGGAGTTTACAAATAAATAGAGTTAATGTCAGCAGACTCATTGTGAAATGATGGAATTGACTCTTTCCTGCCAGCAAAATCAATCCAGACTGCCAAAACAAAATTCACACCGAGCATGGTCTTTCATGGAACACGTTGTAATGTGAACAGCTGACAGTTGAAAGGATTGCTGAAATTGGATGGGCCCCTTTTAGAGACTCAAAAAGTCTTCTAAAACTCTGTACACTTCAGAAAAACAACAACATCCAAGTGAAAAAAAGTCATGCAGCTACTGTTCAGCATGCCATGTTAAGGCTTAGTACCAATTTAGCAAGCCTCTTTGTTCAGTTTTTGCCCCAAATAATTTCAGTGGCACAGTGCATCTGTAAAGGTAAAAATAAATATGCCCTTGAGCCAACTCTCTTTGAATTCTACCTCAGGGTCTTCGAGAAGGCTTAGGGATGTTCCTCCAAGCCGTTTCTTCCTCAGATAACTTATCTTTACATCCATTTGAAATTGCAATTTTGATAACTTTATTGCCCAGAAAAGTCAAAGCCATTTCTGCCTACCGTCCTTGGAGTCAAAGTTTCCATTAGTGAATCGGCATCCTCTGGTTAGGCAACTCCTGTATAGCTCCATCGTTAATGAGATTCAGGGAGAAGCCTTTCCCTTCCCTTCTGCAATCCCAAATGAAAATGCCAAAAGAGCAGCTCTTACCCTGTTTCCATATCCTCTGGATTATATTGAGCAGCATCCCTCCTTCCTGCTACTTGAATCTTTCAGCCAAGCCTCTATGTATGCAAACACTTCCCTCCTTCTGCTATTTACAAGCAGCCCATGAATAGTGACAGGGAAAGCCCGGTGGGCTTAGAAACAATCTTATTGGCTTGTGTTAAAAGGGAGTGGTGTCAGAAAGGGAGGAGAGAGGAGAACCAGTAATGAAGACATGGTGTTTTTTTTTTTTTTGAATGGCATGTAGGTTCTTCGCTATGCCAGGCGGAGGCAGAAAACTCCCCGCACGGTTCTTCTAAGAATGACTAACCAAGAGGCACACAAGAACTGCAGCAGCTTGCACCAGTGGTTGCAGTTGCAAGAGAAACAAAGAGGGAGAAGGAAACAGCCTTGCAAAAAGAAGGAAGGTTGTGTTCTGGTTAAGCAACTCCCCTGCTTCTCTTTTCAAGCTGCCTCTATACACTTTCAGTTTAGTTGCTCTTGAATCTGGTCCTCTTTAAAAAAAAAAACCAAAAAAACAGAGGCATGGCTTTGTAATTATTAAAAGAGACAACCAAGATTTGCAAATGTGTTACTTTCTCTGTTTCACTGAATGGGATACATTTACAAAACAACAATGAACACATGTGTTTTTGTCTCTTCTCTATGTATGACATTATGTTTACTGCCCTCTGTGATGTAAGCACTTGGAAAAATTGTACAGTAGTTAGGAACTTGAATCAGAAGTGAGGTGTACATTAGGCAATGACACTGAAGGCAACGACAATAAAGATGAAACAATGACCACTTGTGATCACTGGGGTTACTAGATTTTTATCAAGGTTTATCAACCCAATAGCAGGCATAATCTTGCACTTTCAAATGGAGACGGGCACTATTACAATTTTTTTTTAGTAATTAAGCAAGTAGTTCCTAATTCTCTTATCATTCCCAAAAGGAAAATGCCCTTGTCTTAGCATCAGTGCTTCTGTTTCCATTGTGATACCTATCATTATAAAGTGATTTCTTTAACACTTTGAAACTTTCCAGACTGGAATCCTGATTAGGAAAACTCACAGAGAGCTTTTCTGTTTCTATGTTGCATCATCATCCTAGTTCATTCTTCTAGATTTATAGCTTTCAGCGCTATCTGGGTTTTGGTGTATAAGTACTATGATCACAGTAATATATGATTTCATAATCTAGCAATGGCTTCTTTTATCATTGGCAAATTCCCAAAAGTAAAACAATAGAAGTAATTAGGTGTGAGTTAATAGCTGCCATCTGTAGTCTAGTTATATAGACATTTTCCTCTGGTGTGCTGGATGAAACCAACTTGTCCCATAATCTAGGAAGTTGTCCTGTTGCCTTCTAATCATTTGATTAAAAAAAAAACAGTTCTCTAAAGCAGCGGTCGCCAACTGGTGGGCCTTGAGAAAATTTTGGTGGGCCGCAGAGAAATCTCACCCCCAGAGCACCCCCCGAAAGCAATTGATCCAGGCTGTGCAGAAACACAAGGCTGCACTGCCCACATGGCTCGCGGGAACCCTCCCCGCCCACTCACTCCTTACCCGACAAACTTGCCTGCTAAATTACCATTTTTCGACCATCATCTGTTCTGCTGTGCCGGGAGATTTAGATTAGCTAGGAAGCAGAAAATGGTTGGATTTCTTGTTTTCTAGCTAGTCTTTAGATCTTCGGCTCTTCTTTTAAGCACAGCCGAATCTCCCTTAGGACTGAAGGTTCTATTATTCAGCGCAGACTCACGGCAAGCAAATTTGAGAGACTGAGCTAGCCAATGGCAGATAGATAGATCACTGATTGATTCTGTGAGCAACTCAATCTGCCTGCCTGCTTCGCCTGATTTTGGGTAAAAGCTGCTCTTTTTTTAATAAAAAATTCAATATTTACATACATGGTGTGTTGTGAGTTAATTTTATGAGTTTGCTTGCAAGCAAATTTTATGTGATGGACTGAGCTAGCCAATGGCAGGATAGATATCTGAATGAATCTGTGATTCTGTGAGCAACTCAATCTGCCTGCCTGCTTTGCCTGATTTTGGGTAAAAGTTGCTCTTATTTTATAAAAAAAATCAATATTTATATAAATGTTTATAATATTTACATACAAGCCATGCCCAACCAGTCACATGACCACCAAGCCACACCCACAAATTAGGCCACACCCACAGAACTGGTTAGTGGTCCCTGGGATTTAAAATTATGAGTTTGGTGGTCCCTGAGGTTCAAAAGGTTGGTGACCCCTGCTCTAAAGCCTACATTCTTTTTTCAAGTTGCTGTAAATAACAAATGCTTTTTACTGCTTTGAATATCAGAAGTGGCCTAACGCTGAGTCAGAATCAATGTCACCAATGTTGACTATAAATACCAAGGTTTCATAAAGTTCAGCTTGCCTGAAGATGACAAGGATTGAAGGTGGAACTTTTTTCATGTGCAATACATGCTCTACCATTGCTATTTTGCCTGCAGCCCTGAATCTGACTCATTGTAAAGTAGATCCCTATATTGCTCCTCTGCTCTTGAGCAAATGGCTAGGAGTGTGTCCCCAGGATTCAAGATGGTGCTTCTTCCTTTCTTGGATGTTATGAGCTGTGGTGGCTCAGGTTAGGATGCAGTATTGCAGGCTAACTTTGCCCACTGCCAGGAGTTCGATCCTGACCAACTCAAGGTTGACTCAGCCTTCCATCCTTCCAAGGTTGGTAAAATGAGGATCCAGATTGTTGGGGGCAATATGCTGACTCTGTAAACAGCTCAGAGAGGGCTGTAAAACACTATGGAGCGATATTTAAGCCTAAGTGCTATTGCTGTACTTTATTGCATCTTACTTTTATTGGTGGCTTGTGTTAGTTTAGAAGTCAGATAACAGATAGAGTTGGAAGGAACCTTGTAGGTCATCTAGTCCAATCCCCTCCCCCATCGCCCAAGTAGGAGACCATACACCATTTCTGACAGATGGGAGTCCAATTTCTTCTTGAAAGCCTCCAGTGGTGACATTCACACAACTCCTGAGGGCAAGCTGTTCCATTAGTTGATTGTTCTCACTGTCAGAGAGTATCTCCTTATTTCCAAGATAAATCTCTCCTTGTTTGGTTTTCATCCATTATTCCTTGTCTGGCTTTCGGGTGCCTTAGAAGAGTCACTGCCTTGCTGTTGTGTAACTGGTATTAGCTGTAAAGTTATTCCCTAGATAGAAAATATGTGTGCACATTTCATGAAGGTGAGAAGGACGAATGGATAATTTCGCTGACAAATATATTTTCAAAACCAGATAAAATCCATTATAGACATTATTTTTTGTTAGAATCAACTTCATAGCACATCTGTATGCTTCAACACTTCTTTTTTTTTTTCTTCCATCGCTTCTGTTTGCAAACAATATTTCTTGTGGCTTTCTTTTAACATTCATTGTTATCAGTAATTATCTGGACTTTCTTCATTTCACATTTGTCTTTGACTGATCTATTCATAAACTGCAGCTTGTTGTCAGAAAATTGGAAGTTCAAGTGCAATAAACAACATCTGGTAACTAAGATTAAAAAAAAAATAGGCAGAACCTCCTGATATTTATGGCATTCTTTTGGCTAGCCAGAAAGCTATTCTTGTTCTGAAGGTTCATCAGAGACCGAAAAAGAGATTGCATGCCATTGAATTACCCTTTGACCCCTGCACAGTTTAAGCAGGTTGACCAGGCATGTCAGCAGAGTAATTGCAGGGGCAGTAACAGCAGGGCCTGGGATGTAATTTCCAGGGAGACCTAGGCTGCTTTATTTGAAGGAAGTGAAAATCAAAACCGAGTAATTGGTTTCCATTAAGGCAGCAAATGACTAATTTGGCTGCTGCAGCTGCAGGATATCATGGGCACTTAACCCTCTGTTTTCCAATGGAAGGAGCTCTGCTCTAGACGAAATACTTGCCAGATGCCTCCCTGTATGCAGCTACTTATAAAGCTAGACTTGAATACTTTTCTATACAGTAGGTAAAGGAAATAGTTCTATACTTCCTCTTTCCGACTGTGCTTTCTCATCACTTGCTCACAGGTCTGATTTTTATCCAAATATTAAATCCATTAATCTTGACTTTGGTTCATTAAGGAAAGCCTTGGCTGAATTTAAATGTTTTTACCCTTTACATTTTAGAATGATGAACTGACTTGCCATTTGATAAAGCCCTGTATGTCAGATGTGATATTTGTGGCCACAGAAACTACTTAATGTACTGTAGAAAGTATAATGTCTCCATTTTAAGATTAGTGTTTAGACCACCTGAAAAAAGGAAAAGACAGATTATGTAAACATTGTCTTAGCACTAAAAGAAAGTGAATGAGAAAGAAGATTGCTCAATTTTGA